AGGTGGAAGGCTGAGGCAGGGAGACACTGCCAGCCACCTCGAGGAGAAGCATGATGTAAGATACTGGTAAGCCATGAGACATGTGACAAGGTATAAATTTACAGAAATGGGTTAATTTAAGATATAAGAACAGATAGCAAGAAGCCTACCATGGCAATACAGTTTATAAGTAATATAAGTCTCTGTGTGTTTATTTGGGGGACACGAGTGGGAGAGATTTGTCCAGACTGCCGGCAGGCTGGGACACAGGAAAACTTCAGCTACATGGTGGATGATTTTTTTTTTTGATGTGTTCAGTTTGCCAGTAGTTTATTGAGTATTTTTGCATCAATGTTCATGAGGGAGATTGATCTGTAATTCTCTTTCTTTGTTGCATCTTTGTGTGGTTTGGGTATCAGGATAACTGTAGCCTCATAGAGTTTGGCAGTGTTGCTTCTGTTTTGATTATGCTAAACAGTTTGAAGAGTACTGGTATTAGCTCTTCTTTGAAATTATGGTAGAATTCTGCTCTGAAATTATCTGGCCCAGGGACTTTTTTGGTTGGGAGACTTTTAATGACAGTTTCTATTTCCTTAGGGGCTATAGGTCTATTTAAATTGTTTATCTGGTCTTGATTTAATTTTGGTATGTGGTACTTATCCAGAAAATTGTCCATTTCTTTCAGATTTTCAAATTTTGTGGAGTACAGGTTTTAGAAGTATGACCTGATGATTCTCTGGATTTCCTTGCTGTGAGTTGTTATATCTCCCTTTTCATTTCTGATTTTGTTAATTTGGATTCTCTCTCTCTCTCTCTCTCTCTCTCTCTCTCTCTCTCTCTCTCTCTGCCTTTTGTTTAGTTGGGATAAGGGCTTGTCTATCTTGTTGATTTTCTCAAAGAACCAACTCTTTGTTTCATTGATTCTTTGTATTGTTCTTTTTGTTGCTACTTTATTGATTTCAGCCCTTAATTTAATTATTTCCTGACATCTATTCCTCCTGGGTGAGTTAGCTTCTTTTTGTTCTAGAGTTTTAAGGTATTCTGTTAAATCGCTAGTGTGAGATTTCTCCTACTTCTTTATGTGGGCATTTAGTGCTATGAATTTTCCCCTTAGCACTCCTTTCTTTCATAGTGTCCCATAAGTTTGGTTATGTTGTACATTCATTTTCATTGAATTCTAGGAAATCTTTAATTTCTTTATTCCTTCTTTGACCCATTGGTGATTCAGTTGAGCATTATTCAGTTTCCATGAGATTGTAGGCTTTCTGTAATTTCTGTAGTTATTGAAATCTAATTTTAAGCCATGGTGGTCTGATTAGATACAGGAGGTTACTTCAAATTTTTTTGTATCTGTTGAAATTTTCTTTGTGACCAAGCATGTGGTCAATTTTGGAGAAGGTTCCATGGGATGCTGAAAAGAAGGTATATTGTTTTGTATTAGGGTGGAATATTGTGTAGATAGGTATCTATTAAGTCTATTTGAGTCATAATGTCTATTGGTTCCCTTATTTCTCTGTTAATGTTCTGTCTGGCAGACCTGTCCATTGGTGAGAGTGGGGTGTTGAAGTTTCCCATTACTAGTGTATGGGGTTTGATGTGCAATTTAAGCTTTAGTAATGTTTCTTTTACAAATGTAGGTGCCCTTGTATTGGGGGCATAAATATTCAGAACTGAGACTTCATCTTGTCGGATTTTCCCTGTGATAAATATGCAATGTCCTTCCAGATCTCTTTTGATTCATTTTAGTTTGAAATCTATTTTATTAGATATTAGGATAGCTACACCAGCTTGCTTCTTAAATTCATTTGATTGTCTTTTTCCACCCTTTTAATATGAGGTAGTGTCTGTCTTTGAAGTTGAGTTATGTTTCTTGTATGTAGCAGAAGGATGGATCCTGTTTTCATATCCATTCTGTTAGGCTGTGTCTTTTGATAGGCAAATTGAATCCATTGATAATAAAGAATGTTAATGACCAGTGATTGTTAATTCCTGTTATCTTTTGTTGTTAGTGTATGTGTATTTCCCTTCTTTGGGATTTGCTGCTACGGAGTTATCTATTGCCTGTGTTTCCATGGATGCATCTAACTTCCTTAGGTTGGAGTTTTCCTTCTAGTACTTTCTGTAGGGCTGGATATATGGATAGGTATTGTTTAAATCTGGTTTTGTCTTGGAATGTCTTGTTCACTCCATCTGTGTTGATTGAAAGTTTTGCTGGGTATAGTAGTCTGGGATGGCATCCGTGGTCTCTTAGTGTCTGCATTATGTCTGTCCAGGAACTTCTGGCTTTCAGAGTCTGCATTGAGAAGTCGGGTGTTATTCTGATAGGTCTGCCTTTATAGGTCACTTGGCCTTTTTCCTTTGCTGCTCTTAATATTCTGTATTTATTCTGTAGGTTTAGTGGTTTGATTATTATGTGGTGAGGGGACTTTGGGGGGGGGTCTAGTCTATTTGGTGTTCTATAAGCTTCTTGTATCTTAATAGGTATTTCATTTTTAAAGTTGGAAAAGTTTTCTTCTATGATTTTGTTGAACATATTTTTTGTGTCTTTGAGTTGGTATTCTCCTTCTTCTATCCATATTATTCTTAGGTTTGGCCTTTTCATGGTGTCCCAGATTTCCTGGACATTTTGTGTTATGATTTTTTTGGCTTTAGTGTTTTCTTTGATTGATGAATCTATTTTCTCTATTGTATCCTCCACACCAGAGATTCTCTCTTCCATATCTTGTATTCTATTGGTTATGCTTGCATCTGTAGTTCCTGTTTGTTTACACAGATTTTCTATTTCCAGCATTCCCTCAGTTTGTGTCTTCTTCATTTTTCTATTTCAATTTTCAGGTCTTGAACTATTTCCTTCACCTGTTTAATTGATTTTTCTTGGCTTTCTTTAAGGGATTTATTGATTTCTTCCAATTCTTTGTCTTTCTTTTCCTCAATTTCTTTAAGGGAATTTTTCATTCATCTTGAAAGGCATCTATCATCTTCATGAAATTATTTATAAGGTTGGTTTCTTCTGTTTCTTCTATGTTGGGATGTTCAGGTCTTGCTGTTGTAGAACCACTAGGTTCTGGTGGTGCCATATTGCTCTTTATGATGTTATATGTATTTTTGTACTGATGTCTATCAATCTCTTCCTCCAGTAGATGCAAGAGGTGTCTGTCTGAGGGAGCTGCTTTTGGTCCACTCTATGCTTGCTGTGTCTGTGTCTCAGGGGGCCACTCTTGGTCCAATCAGAGTTGTTGGTCCAATCAGAGCTCTTGGCCCACTGTTTGAAACTCTTAAAGTGTTAATGGGATGGCTATATAGATGAAATAGTGTCTTAGTGTCTGCCCTCCATGAGTCTTAGATTTAGCAGGGAAAACATTGAAATTCAAGCACCTTTCAAGAAAGTCATCTTTCTACCCATTGGGAATGCATATTCCAACAAATATATGAAAAGACAAAAATGAGCCCACATTCATCTGCTGATTGGCTGTTAACCAAAGACATGGGCTATGTTTTAATGATTAAAGGATTAAAGGGGATCATGCAAGAGGTGCACTTTTAAATAAAGGCAAATGGATGGAGAAAACTGCAACACAAGTAGAGTAGTCCAGGTTGCAGTGACTCAAGCAAGGTGGGTTTTTGTTGTTGTTGTTGTTGTTTAATTTTACTTTGTTGGTTTAGATTTAAAGATGCTGATCTTCTAGGAGATTTTTCTTATCTCTATTAGGTTTGGGTCTAGAAGGTGGGTGGTGCATGGTGAATGAATCACAGTTTAGACACATGCAGGACTGGATGCAGTCATTATGGGCACATATGTGCATTCTTTAAGTATTAGAACTATGTATTTGATTTCTAGTCAATATTAACACATTTCTGGGAGGTAGATTGATGGAGGCAGCCCTCAGAAATTAGTAGTCTGGAAAATTTCACAGCCTGGCTCTAAGTTATGTATAACCTAGCCAATAGGAATAAGGATGTATTTCTCAAAATAATCTGAGGTTAAGCCCTCATTTCATTGATAAGCTGGCCCAATTCAGAGTATAAAAAACACAAGAAATCAAGACACTTGAATTGCAGTGGTCTCTGCCATGTCCTGGCTAAGGACATTCAAACTAATAATTGAAACTGTTGTGAGTTTCTGTTTTCTCAGTTGCAGACAGTGACCTTGGGCAGTGGCTTATTTCCTATAGACTTCATTTAATTATCCATTAAAGGCAAGCTTGCTGTGGTAGTTTAGGATATTATTAAGAAAACTCTTACTATAATATTGCTTTTTGAATCTAGTTAATGCCGTTGCCTTTGGCAGATAAAGAGAATCCTGAGCAAAATGAACCAAGTGATCAAATAAGGTTAGAGGAGTTGGGATCATGTACCTGGTCAGTTATATACAAAGGTCAGAGAAGTATAGCTTCAGTAGAAGCATGACTGGGTTGGAAGTCCTGCATGTTGGCACTCAGCCACCAGCTCTCTGTCTTGTTATCTGTAGCATCACAGCAGACAGTTATACTTACACAATCCCTGATGATTTAATGTTTTATTAGGGTTATTTTAAATGAAACTTTAAACTTTATTTTTTATCTGTTTACTAATATTTATCGACTCTACATAATAATGAGGCCCAGTATGATAGCTCTGCATGTCAATACCCTATGCACTAATTAAATCACCCTCCCATCCTACACCCTTCCCAACACCTGTCAATCCCAATTCTATATCAGGTCAACTGATTTTAGTGCCCATATATGACCAAACATGTACAATACTAAGTTATTATTTGAATGTCACTTTTTTTTTTACTTAATACAATAGCTCTAATTTAAGTTTGATGTACATGGCAGGATTTCATTTTCTTTATAGTTGAATAATCCAAAGAATAAATATATCATATGTATTATCCATTTTTCTGATAAAGGGCAATGAGGCTGATACATATCTTAGTTACTGTTAATATTGCCATAAGTCTTGTGTGTATGCAGGAATTTGTTTGCTATTCTGACTTCATTTCCATATAATATACCTCCAGGAGTATGATTTTTAGCCTTTTGAAGAATCTCCATACATTTTTCCATAATGTTTATACTAAATTACACTCCTTCCATTGATGTATAAATTTTCTGTGCCTTTACTACCATAAAACTTCCAATAATACCCATGCTAGCTAGAGTAAGATGGTATATCATTGTAGCTTTGATTTGCATTTTCCTAATAACCAATTATATTGAGTATTTTCATACATTAGCTATTTATTCTTAATGAGATTGATAAACCTTTCCCTGATGTCTGAGGGTCACTGTTTTAAACAAAAGTAATGTGAATGAAATGTAAGGGGAAAAAGGACTCACACTCTAAAATACCAAACAGTGCAATGACATCCTTTTAGGTACCTGAAATTATAAATAGCTACCTGTTTTGATTGATACATTTGCTTCACATTGCCAAATAACAAATAATCCCTACCTTAGCAGCATAATACAGGCCCATGTAACATCTCACAGTTGTGTAGTTGGAATCTAGGCAAGCTCTGTTGAATCCTGTCAAGGTATTAGAAAATCAAAATCAATGTGATGATTTTCTTTGCTCTTATATAGACACTGTGGGAGGAGAATCTACTGCCTTTAGCTTGTTGGCAGAATCCAGCCCTGTATGGCGCTAGGTCCCAGCTTCAGTTTCTTCTTTCACTAAATTACTGAAGCTGCCCACATTTTTTCTCAGGCAGTGCCTCCATCTTTAGGCATCAACAGCTTGTCAACTCTTGCCTCTACTTCAAATCTCCCTAACTTTCTCTTCTGCTCTCCTCTGTCATGAGATCAAGAACATTCCCTGATTACATCTGTTCGTATAATTAAGTGACATTCATGGATATAACCTTCCCAGCCTAAGGTCGCTAGTTTAACTTAACCTAACACATTTCTGGAAGTAAGATTTCACAATTTTTAGAGACACTGAATGTGAGCTATATGAACTGTAGGGTGCCATTTGTAGAATTCTACCTAATGAACAATTCAGTAAGCATTTTCTGGAAGCCATAAGACCTAACTATAATGATCATTTTTGACAGGCTATCAAACATTATGTAAGATTACACAAATAATAATTTTATGCCTAGTAAGGCATAATAAATTTGTATCTATTTTCATGTAATCCAAAGATGCTGGCCATTTCTGTGACTAGACGATATTGAGTAGTATATTATCTAAAGCAAAAATTTTACTTAGAAAACAATTTAACCCAGCAAGAGATATAGGCCAGTGGTAGATTACTTGTCTAGAATACCCAAAGCTCTGAACTAAATTCTATACAGGAAAAAATTCAATTAAACCCATACTCACACAGCAACCAAAGTCATCTTAGAAAGCTCAGTGATACTATGAGAAATATGATTCACACAAGTAACCAAGTTATGTAGGTAATATAAATCAAAACTCTTCTTTCTAAATATATAGTCATAATAGTTTGGATAGCTATTTGACATCACCTCAACGGTCTGTCATCTTTATTTTTGTGTGTGCGTTCCCAAGTAACAAATTCAATACACAAAAAGAAGTGAAGGAATTTTCACATGTCAAGAAAAGGAACAATAACAAAGAAACTTCCAATTACTCCCACAAAAACGAAATAACTTCTCATGCTGACATGAGTGACCCACATGGCTCTGAGAGCCAAGCACAAACATGGAGAATGAAGTGAGAATGATAGCAGCTTATGGATTATATAAAAACCATCAGAGCTCCATTCACTCATCAACTAAATAATAATAATTTAGCGCTCATCTCCCAGAAGATTTTGCTTCCGTTCATCCACTTTGGTGCACTTAAATGGTTATAGCAAACTTTTCCTGTCAGTCAAGTGTCTAAAGCACAAAACAAATTGTCTCTGAAATATTTTAGGACAAATTAAATAAAAACCATTCATGTGCCAAATTGATATGGGTATCTATTGAGAATCATCACTCAATAAGTTGAGCATAATATTTAAAATGAGTAGCTTTTAGAAGATGACTATCAGCAATTAATACTTTAAAAAGTCTTCAAGTTATTTCTTACACCTTTTTTCTCCTATAAATGTTTCACTTCATACTTACTTGACTAAACTAATCATTTTTATAAGAATAATTCGTACTCAGTTGTCAATAGTCTACAAAAATCCCTTGTGAAACAGATTGAGGAAATTATAAGATGCATTGCATTGGCCTCACTTGCTAAACTAAAAATTTGTGTAAAAAAAATTGTCATTCGTGAGAATTACACTATCAAGTCACCTAGTTACTTTCATTGCCTTAGAAAACACTTTCATTAATTTTCTTTAAGCTTAAGACTTAGACTTTTTGTTGCCCCTAAGACAAATATTCTAGTACATTCTAACCTTTGTGTAGTCCCTTTAGGCACAACTTTTTACAGCATTCCATTAGGCCATGTTTTGTTATGTGAAGTTTGGGTGCTGGGGTAGAACCTGGGGCCTTGTATATGCTAAGTACATGCTCTGCTATTGAGTTCCACCACAGCATTTCTCTATTGTGTTTCATCTTTGCTAATTTCTGGTTTAGATGATCTTGTGAATATGTGCTTTCTTTGGTAAATGTTATGTATTTATAAATAACAAAAATGATAGTTTTCTCATCCATATTTCTTAGATTTTTTTTGTATTTTTCTGGGTTTCTTTTTTCCTAGAGAACACTTTTTTAAAAGTGAAAGGAAATGTTTTAAAAGTCTTAGTTTTACATAAATATTTAACTCCCACTCTAACATATACACACAGGCTTACCTATTATCAGGATCTTACACTGGTGTGGCATTTCTGTCACAATCAGTGAGCCAAATTAAACATTATTATTTAGTTCTTACTTTAGATTGTTCACCCATTGTGCTAAACAGTTCATGGATTTTTTTTAATTGAATTTTTTTTCATACAATATATTTGAGGAAGTGATTTTCCTTTCCCAACTTTACATAGATCTCCTCCTCCCTACTCACCCCCCCACTCATAAGCCTTTCCTTTTTTCAAATTTAAAAAGCAAGCAAACAAAACACAAACAAATAAAAAGTCAAGAAACACACACACACACACACACACACACACACACACACACACACACACACACACAGACACCCCACAAGAGTGGCCAACTAATGCTTGGTTTAACTTGAGCTTACAACACAAGAGGAAGCCCATGCCTTACACTGTGTGGATGGCCAGGAACCAGAGACTGGACAGCCCAGAGATTTGGGGTAGAACCAAACACAACCAGCACCAAAAAAGATCAAAGAAATTATTCCTAATTATATTCTGATGTACTTATATATCTGTGCCTTGTCCAGTCATCATCAGAGACTTTCCTTTGGTAGCAGATGGGAGCAGGTGCAGAGGCCCACAGTCAGCCATTATGTGGAGAGAGAGAGTCTAAATTGGAGGTCTCCATCAGGACCCTACCCTCAGAGATCAGGCAACCTGACAGAAGTGGGGGAAGAAAGACTGTAGTAGTAAAAGGGGATGGTGGTCACCAGGAGGACATGACCCACTGAATAAACTAAGCAGGTCTAACATGGGCTCACAGAGACAGAAAGGAACAGCATGGGTCTACATGAGTCTGCCCCAGGTCCTCTGTATATATGCTATGACCGCTAACTTAGTGTTTTTGTGAGACTACTAACAGTGGGAGTAGGTGTATCTTTGACTTTTTTGCTTGCTCTTGGAACCCTTTTCCTCCTATTGGGTTGCCTTGTCCAGTTTCTAAATGAAGGCTTTTGCCTTGTCTTTTGTATTTTGTTTTGTCCCATATGGCTGTTGTCTCTTGGAGACCTGCTTGTTTCGTAGGAAACTGGAGGGTGAGTGGATCTGGGGGTGGGGGTTGGGGATCTAGGAAGAGCAGAGGGAATGGATACTGTGGTTGGGATGTATTGTGTGAAAGAAGAATATTTTCAAGAAAAGGTCACACACACAAATTAAATAAAAATGGTGAGAAATCCTACATGCTTCGGAAAAGGGCTAATTCTCATCATAGCATCTTGACTTAAAAATATAAATCAGTTAAAACTGCATCTTTCTATTAATTATATGTTTCTAATATATAATATAATTCAAAAGGCTTCAATGTACATACAAATATTTTTCATTTTATGGGTGGCAATAATTATGTTAATGAAAATACAAACTAAATGAGAAAAAAAAACACAAAACTCACCACACTGGAAACTAAAATATACAAGCAAAAGGCCAATAAAATGCCCAAACAGAGCTATATAAACCAAAAAGCTACAAAAATACCATTGAGTTTGGATTGTGTTGTACATCTACTCCTGGGCATTGGTCCTACCTTGAAATGCAGTTATTATACCCAGTAAAACTCCATTGAAGAAGACTAATTTTTCTTTTCCAAAATAATACCAATTGCAAATAGCTTCTTGTTTAAGGATGGGAGCCTTACCAGACATCTTGGATCACCAAGTGAAACTTCCAGTACCAGGAATGGGTTACATCTAATTGAGTTGTTAGCCAAAGAGGCCCCATAAAAACCTCCAAACATCTTAGGCTATTGCCAAGGGTATTGGTTGTTCTCCACAAACTGATAACACAATGTTATTGAAGACAATACTGACAGGTCTCATCAAACCTGAGGAAGTCAAGAAGGTGCTTAAGTAGAAGTTTCACCACTAATGACTAATGTTCATGGTACTGGAAGGTATTCTTTCATGCTACCAAAGGAGAAAGGCAAACACAGCTATAAACCCCTTGTACTACAACACTGACCTGTCTATGAGATGTGCAGGGGCAATAGTGGAAGACAGATTCTAGGAGTAATCAACAGCTCTCTGATTAGATTTAAGGCCCAGTCTCCTGATGGAACCCATGCCTGACACTGCTCATTTGGCCAAGAACCTGAAGCTCTTCTTGGAGTAGATGGGAACAAACACAGAGGCCCACAATTGGGCAATGTGTACAGAGTGAGACGCTTTGGATCACTCAGTCCTAAATGGGATATCTTCATCCAAACCCTCCCCTCACAGTTCAGGGATCTACCTGGAATAGAAAGTGAAAAGATTGTTGGAGGCAGAGGTGATGGATAGCTCCAAGGAAACAGTATCCTCCAAACGCAATAGGAACAATGCACATATGAACTCAAAAGTGACTGTGGCAGCAAGGCTGCACAGGTTCAGATGAGACAGGCTCCCAACACTGAGAATAGGGTAGAGGGTTCCACCCCTAACCAGTTCACAGATTCTAACAAGTATGTGGCATCATGTTTTCACTATTCCAATGGTATACAGACTAGGTCCAATGTTCTAAAACCTTTCTTCTGCTCTGCCCTTTCAGCATTCTCCTCCCTGTATCCAAACCTCTGGCAACCACTGAGTTGTTGTTGTTATTGTTTGTTTGTTTGTTTTGTGTTTTTTTTACTATCTCTTTGGTTTTGCTTTTCCTGAATAGCAAATTTAGGATCAAACGGGGTCACTTTCTTAGTCTACCTTCTTTCACTTGGCAATACATGCCTAAGGTTCTTCTCTATTCTTTATGGCTTACTAGTTCATTTCTAGGT